AATTATGCCATTTAATTAAATACAACATTAAAACAACTTTAACCAGGTATAATATTTCCAACAACTTTAAAGAGAGCAAACTCTGCTTTGCCACTTTCACGATAATAATACAAAATCCTAGTAAATACTTTCTACAGTTTATCTGTGAAAGCAACCAGCCTTCTAATGTAAGCAGGTTACAACGAACTGCAATGCGTTTACTCTCTAGCTCACTATTTACATATTAAAGAAATGCGTAAAAAATGCCAAATTTGCCACTGTTAAGCCTTGCCATTAATCTACGAAATTAAAATCAATGCTGATCTACAGCTTACAAGCCTGGGTGCTTTCNAGCAAGATACAAAGAAGTTGACCGGTTCTGGAGTGAGTTCAATATGAGTGGGTGAAAGCGTGAATTGGTTTACCAAGAATAACAGCGACACTCAGGTCTGGAATCTTTAAAAACGCTTCCAGTAATTTTGAATACTCTCCTTTGGTTACGAGAGTTTGTTTGCGAAGCCAGGACTTAAGGTAGGAGCGAATATTGTTTAAATTTATCGTATTTAAACTTATATATACTGAGTCATAGCATCGAGGTTAACAACACTTGAACGGCCAATTATTCATGAACAAAGATTCAAAATGCATGCCAGAGGGGTTACAGTAAGATTGAAGATTATTATGCGTTGATATGCAAGGAATTTAACTGACACCCTGCATTTTAATAAGCCGTTCATCACCAGCCGCGCTCTTCGTTTTAACAAACGAAGCCTCACCCAGGTTTACAGTTGCTCCTCCTTGTCACCGAGGAGATGCATTGAAATCTAAATTCTGTGGTCATGACGACTTCATTGTTTATTTGCAGATAAAAGGGGTTCAGCTAGAAATTGAATAACACAGCTAATCAAATTATTCCAGTATATTTACAGAGAATAAAATTGAGTGAGACTATTGTTACCTTAATTGAGAATTATGCCATTTAATTAAATACAACATTAAAACAACTTTAACCAGGTATAATATTTCCAACAACTTTAAAGAGAGCAAACTCTGCTTTGCCACTTTCACGATAATAATACAAAATCCTAGTAAATACTTTCTACAGTTTATCTGTGAAAGCAACCAGCCTTCTAATATAAGCAGGTTACAACGAACTGCAATGCGTTTACTCTCTAGCTCACTATTTACATATTAAAGAAATGCGTAAAAAATGCCAAATTTGCCACTGTTAAGCCTTGCCATTAATCTACGAAATTAAAATCAATGCTGATCTACAGCTTACAAGCCTGGGTGCTTTCAAGAAAACACTTAAAGTTAATAACCTACCAATTTTTTTTCAGAGAGAATTCAATTTTGAAAAAAACACTCATCTTAGTGAAAACTGTGAAAAAGGAGGAAAAAGAAAGATGCGATTGCCTTAAATCAAAGCCGTATTTAGAACGTTGTCAAATGGTGGATTTGGAAAAGATTGGGCATTATCCACACCGCGTCATTTGCTCTTTTCTTTTTCTTGTGTTGTCCAAGGCCTTTCGTCTCGACAGGATTAAGTCAAATGGTTTAAATTACTTCCTAAATTGATCCACATCAAAGGGGCTTCTCTTGTTAAAAGGGCAATTTGGAACTGATAAAAATGAACTTGGTGCTAATTGTGCTTATCTTTCACGTGCAAGAAACTACCATTTTGAACAGGGAGAGAAGTGGGGTTGATCTCTTTTTGTATATCGATAACATTACTGCTTGGGAGACTTTCTCTGTCTCGTAAGTTTCTTTATACATGTCTCAGTGGTAATCGCACGTTCCCCTTTTCCTCGACTATACTGAATTAAGATAAACAGAATTTTAAATTTCTTCTTGAAAAAAAAATGATGAAAGGCTACCTTAGCCTTTTGCAAAAAAAAAAAGTCATATTTGAGAAGTTTCCATGTTTTTACTTCGGATGTAGTGAAAGTAGCAAACAGGTTCAGGAAAAGCTAAAAGATAATGTTGATGTGAAGCACAATGCCTCGCCAGCAGCCGCTAAGCAGCCCATTTTACCCTAGTTTCAAAGAGTAGAATCTCTCAAAGAGCTGCACAAGAGCGTGTACCAGGAAGAGGATTTTCAGGAAAAAAAAAAGTTAAATCTTTTGTTCTTTGAATTTGATTCAAAACAACTTCACTCCTAATTCTTTTCACTTTTGTCATTATCGGGAATCAATGGGTGATGGTGGGGGGGGGGGGGGGGGGGGGGGTGAAAGTGAGGGAAAAGAAGGAAAAAAAAAAAACATGATAAAAATTTGAAGGTAAAAAAAAAAAAAAAAAAAAAACAAGGCTACGAACATTAAATATATAATTAAAAAAAGGGAAGTTTCTCTTCCCCATTTTTTACCTAT